CTCACAGGCAAAATAGGGCATGGGTAATACTTGAGAATCTTCTGAAAAAGAGCTCATAAGAAGAGTATTAGCTCATTTCTTGTCAGTTTCATATGGAAAGTGGCTTTCCCTTTATTTCTATTTCAGGTTAAAATATAGTCTAAGAAGATGTCATGACTTACCCCCACAGTTAGTTTCATTTAAAGAGAGTCCAAAATGTATATGCCCAGGAATGAGTCTGCAGACAGCTAGGGATCCACCAACACAAAGACAGTTCATTAAATGGAAATTAACCTCATCCCAATCCTGCCCCTCCTTGTCAGCCTTAACATTTCCTTTCAYGTGGAGATGCTGATAGGCCCTCAAGGGCTGAAGTTGGGCATGCCACACACCTTTTTCTTCCTAGTGAGCATATCCAAAGTCTTCTAGTCTTTTAAAAGAACATTTTATTAGGACATAAAGCAATGTGATGAAGTGATAAAGTTATGAAGTGATAGCTCTTTAGAAACCTCAGAATTAGTGACTAGACTGATTAAAGAAAATGGCCTGAGAAAAAATTTTGCTTGCCCTCTGTGCCCCTGCAGAATAAATTCTTTCCTACTGTCTTCTTCTCTACTCCAACAGCTTTCAACGGCTTCTCAGATGGCACAGACTCCATGTGATCTCTTCTGGGCTGCTTTTCCATCACTTTTATGACTTGTGGCTCTGCTCTAAGCAAGTCCTTTGCAGGGGTCTCCCCATCAGCTGCCTATGTCTTCCTTCTGCTGCTTGCCCCAGCCTGCACCCTTGGGGTATGTGTTCAGCTTCTGAGGGAAGACATCATCTCCCCTTCCCTCTAGGGATTTCCCTGAAACTAAAGGACAGGTGTCTGCTGCCAAAAATGTAAATAAACAACATGATTCCACTCTCTGGTAAATGGAGGAAAAAAACAGTGCTGTGAGCATTTTAATTCAGATATGTCCTTGCACTCTTGTCTTCTTGGTCTTTTTATACTGTGAAATAGCTAAAAGTCAGTTACTGTGATAGGTGCTTGGTTCATGACCTAAAGCATCATGGCCACATATGCCATGCATGTCAGCATTTGCCTACTTGAAGGAAGGCTCCAAAACAACCCCATATGCTGTACTGCTACTTCTCTAAAGGTGAAATCCCATCTTATAGCTGAGCTGAGGTGACAGATACTACTGCTGAAAAAGGCAATACCCAGTACCGCAAGGGCCTCGCTCGCTGTAGCTCAGTGGAGAACAAGCAGACTGAAGAGGCTGAGCTATCAGCTAGTTCATCTCAGTGGCACAGCGATAACTGAAGGACAGCAATGAAAGGTCAGCACTGTTAACTATTTCATTCCATACAGGAAAGAGGACATCAAGAATTGTAGGTCTGTGCATTTGTTGTACATAATCTCTCATTTTCAGTCATCTTCTTTGAAAATTAGTGGATTCTGGAAGATAATAGTCATTTTTTTTCCATTAGTCAGAAGGAGCAGAGCCCAGGAGCCTAGGAAGGCACATCACTGACACCCTGATGTGGAAAATAGGCAAGTCAGATTCAGGTTCAGTTCTGTGCAGCTCAGAGGCTGAATGAACTGTCATTTTTTGGCAACTGACCTAAACCAGATCACTTTGGAATATCATTTGACAGATTTTATGGGTAGATACAGTTGAAAGCTTTCAGTTCAGTTTTAGCTGAAGTTCCTCTAATTCAAGTTCAAACAATATTGTGTATTCCCTCAGTGTCTCCCCTCAGCTGTACATTGAGTACACATCCCAATGCAGGATGGACTGCAGTTTTATATTTGAAAATGAGCATATCTTATCTCAGGAAAAAACACAGTCAATTGAGAAGTTGATATGCGTGTTTCCAAAATGGGGTGGCTGCCATTATCATACTAAGATTACTGTAATCGAAAAAGATTGGGGGAAAATACTTTGCTCTTTTTCACTTTATTTATATTGTATATGTGACAACTCTTGGGGGAAACTAGTTGCACTTTGCCATGTCAGTTGCTTAGTCATTTCTCCTGTTTCTCAGTCTTTTACATGGTAAAAGGAGAGAGAAATATTTAAAAAATAGGAAAATCTAATTGTGAAAGCATTTAAGTTTTCAGGAGTTCAATGCACAGTCAGAGACGATTAAAGAGTTGAAAAGGTCTTTTGATTCCTTCCAAATAGGAAAGATATCCAGCCTCTGGTATTCTGGTATTCTTTAAATAAGTTCTAACCCATAGGAGAACTTTTTCTTGTCCCCAAATGACTCAAGTTCCCTGACCATTTCTTTAGAAATTGGTCTTTTAAAGAAGGTGGAGGTTTTTGTTTATTTGTTGTTTTTCACTGAAGATATTGCTTTACTTTCTTGGATATAATCCAAGGGAGTCCTAATTTCTTGCACTAACAATCTACCACAACCTTTTGGTGCATCTCCTCCACACACAGAAGATGACGACGTATTAAAGAGGAGTAATGAACTGAAACAATGATATACCACAAGCAAATGCCTAACTGCATCTTGGAATGAACATATTACATGACTCATAGTAAGTTATAATCAAAAAGGCAGCCCGGATGCTTGGAAGAGGCCAGATAAAACACGTTAAACTCTGCATCTGTTCTCCCCTTCTCATGCCAGAGTGCCTATGGCACTTAACAAGGCTGGTCTGGAATAGAGTGCAAGATAAATGGGAGTGCTGCTAGGCGAGGGATTGCTACAGCACTGACAGAGTTTTAAATATATTAAAGTGAAAATATAGCCACACGAGCACGGAAGAGTGTAGGCTGCAAACTCTACTCCGCCAGCCCAGTGAGTACTCAGTAGTTAGAGTGCTCTGAACTGCATGATAGAGACACCTGAAGTAGCTGGCTTTAGCTCATGTTATTCGATCTCTTGGAGCTGCAGTCACAACTTCTTCAGTGTGATCCTATCTTTAAAAGGGTAATTTTGGACACAGTAAAACCAGCACAGGCTTATGTCTTTATAGGTAGCTGCCCATGCTTTATTCATATTCCTCCTTATTCTTTGGAAACTTCTGTTCTCATTTCAGTCTGTTTAGTCTTTTCCCCTTTCTTCAGAGAAAGACACAGGCAGCACTAAAAGGAGTACGAAAAGGGAGTTTGCTAATAATGTTTATCAGCAGACAATTTTTATGCTAATTCTATTTAACAATTTTACTAATGGCCCTGGCATAGTATTAGGAGTGTGTGAGGAAATTTTTTGATGGCAGACAGCATAAAGCATCATTAATATAAAGAATGGAAATGATGTACAAAAAGAATCGGGTGACCTTGATAAGAGGAATTGTAGATGTGAGCTGAAGTTCAGCTCTTCAAAATGTAATAATATGAAAAGAGAAAATACAATAAATAGAGGCTAGAAATTAGAATAGAGAAAGTTGCCACAATGAGAATCTAAAACAGCCTTGCAATCATGCTAATRTGCCTTCCCATTGATGCTAAAATTATTTCTGAAAAGTGTTCATGAGACAACACTGCAAAAGGTGATCTGATCCTGTGATTTAGGGGTCCTTTCTGAAACTGTGTTTCTATTCTTGGGTAAATTACCTATATCTCAATGCAAACATGACTGGGTAGAAATACTTTAGTGCAGGAATGGGTCAGTGTTTAACCCATGTGTTAGGATTAACTAGTAATAGAGAACACTTTTGACCAAATCCTCAACTGAGAGTACATCGTTACTGAATTTAAAAGCTATGGCTCTTCCTGTAATTTTTAAATTTGGTTTCACAGCTTTTCTGTGCAAAGTGAGTAGATCTTCATCCTCACAGAATGTGAGCTGAAATGGATGAAGGGAAAGGGCCTGACAATACATCTCAGAAAAAAACAGGCAGTATTTCTTTGAAATGGCACTCTGTAACAAACTGCAAGGGCCTTCTGGGCATTTCTCACTGTAGAAACTGATACACATAATGTTTTATATTTTGTTTGCATGCTGAACCCGACTTTATATTCTCTTCCTTATGGGAAGAAGAATATACAAATGCCGTACTGTTTATTTATGCTTAAGTGACAGTTTCCTGGTATTCTAAACAAAAATAGAATATTAGCTGCAAAGGGTGTGTTGAATGCCGTCCTTTAATTCGCACTGTGAAATGAGCAGAGTTGGGACTGCTATGAAAACACACTTACGACCTCGCCATACCTTGCTTAGTGACTGACTTTAGTGCAGTAATTTTTTCTAGTGTTTTCTTACAGAGTGCAAAGGTATGGGAACATAGCAAGATTCCCCAGACCTTATTCTTATGAATGACTATAGCTCTGGGTACAAAATGCAGCACCGGAGGTTTTGTCTCTGAAGTTCTGAAACTAGACACCATCACAGGTTGTGTTTGGGACAGAACAAGGGGAAATGCAGATGTAAATGTCACAAGGCATGTTTCTTTGAAGATTGTATTAGGGCAGTTTAGATGTTATTTTAGAAAATCTTCAATTAATTTATGCATTAGAGTATATGGTGGAAAAGCTGGGCCCACTCTTCATGGTAATAACTCCTACCAGCCTCAGAATTAAATTCTAGAACCTGTTCCTTACTGTAAACACACCAGTGATGTCCCACCAGAACATAACAAATACCTGACCAATCTCATAGTATCTGCTGCCTGTCATTCAGTAGAAACCTAGGACAGACTATCTGACCAAAGACTTCAAGTTCTCAAACTGTTTTCAGTGAATATTTTAATAAGTTAAACAGATCAGTTTTGCAGATGATAGGAATTTAGAGGCTGGAGTAAAGAAGACATTTTCTGTGACAAATGGCACATGCTTACTTAAGGGCCAATAAGTAATTACCTACACAGAAGTCATGGAGTTAACAATAGAGAGCCTTGTGACCACTGAGAAAGGGAAAGCAGGGATGGCTATACCAGGTACATATTTTAACTACGTTCCATAATTTTCAGTAAAAGAAAGGCACAGTGTGATTCATAGCCCTTATGGGAATAAAATATTAGTGTGTGGTTCCCTTTTTTCCACCCTGACAACTGGTCACTCCCAGAGAACATTCAGACTCACCCACTGTTCCCATGAGCTTGGCAATGARGAGCAGCAGAGAGACACACACAGTCTTCCCAGCAATTGTCATGTCAAATTCTGCTTTCATGGCTCAGGCAGCTTCGTCACTCCATCCATCCCACTGCAAACCTAGCTGTAGTTGCAGGAAGCTTTCCTTGTCCCCCAGGACATGCTGGCCAGCCAACATGAGTGTTTTCTCTTGCCTCCTCTAAGGGTGTGCAGTCATGACTGACTCGCTCCTCAAAGCTGGAGAGGTTCCTCCTTCTGCCTCTTCGCAGCACTAGGCTTCCTGTGCTGAGAGCCTAGGCGAACACTGAGGAAACACTGAACTGCTCTGCCTTCCGTTCATTGGCTCCTCTCACAAGGTTGATGAGTGAAGATAAACCCTGCAACACAGCTCACATGGGGCAAAAGTGAAGGAGATTAATCAAGGTGGGGTTTAGTATCAAAGAGAAAATCTTAACCTTAGGGAGCAAAAGTTTCTTTATACAGAGGAAATTCCTTCTTCTGCCCCCCATGTAAAAATAAAGCAGTTTTACATGTTCTCTATAACTGACATTTTTAATGAGTTTTCCCCTCTGTAGATGCTTAGCTATTGGCAACTCTGTTCTCATTTTGAATGGGAAGACTTTCCAGACCCTAAGGAAGAGACTGTGTGTTGAGGGAAAAGAAAATGCTCTTTACCTATCTCTCAACAGAAAAAGTACTAATATTGAAGCTGGTTCACACCTTTCACTGAGAAAATGTTGACTTTTTTTTTTTAGCTTTTTTTTTTTTTAGAACATTGTACATGTTTCTGCACGTCTCTAACATATTCAGGCATATTCTAACATATTCTATCTAACAGGTTCAGATCGTTCCCTTCCCAGAATATTCAGATAAGGCAGAAATTCAGCTGGATCTTCTTGGTCGCAGGATCTTATTACTGTCTACAGTTAGTGTGGGAGGGAGTGTTGTGGCCACATAAGTAGAGATTAAATTACCAAAATGGAGAGAGAAGTAGGCAAAACATATGCAGGAGAAGGCCTTAAATGGGAAAGAAATGCCGCTGAGGTTTAATGCAGAGGCCAGAGGAAGGAAAGGTGGAGCAAAATGCACAAACACTTGACACATTGGATAGATAGTGAATTGAACATAATGAAAGATGCAGTGGGGTAGTGGAGATTTTGGAAAAGAGTGAACAAGCTTTTTATAACAAGGAAAATTCTACTCTAAGTTGTCCCAGTGAAAGGTCTGACCAGAAGGAGCTAGACAGCTGGATTCTTTTGATGAGCAAATATCATATAAAATGACATTAAAATCTTTGGGAATGTTTTTCTGATTGGAGCCAGAGAGACCAGGAAATAAGGGGCTCATACAACGAGCTAGTCCATTAATTTGAGAAGAGCTGAGTCTGGGAAGTACTGCAACAGTTCCTTTTTTTACCATTAACAGCAAACAACAAATTTTAAGAAGTGATATTTGAAAAGTCTGTGGTGGGATATTTCTAAAACCATAAATTTATCACTAGAAGTGATGAGGACTTGCATCTTATGTCTTACTCCTTGAAGCCTGGCCTGTCAGTGATATCTTGGGAGCCAGGATGCCATGACAGGGGAAATGACCATAAGAGTGGGAAACAGGATGATCTAGATGGAGAAATAAGCATGGATGCTGGGATGCATGTAGAGGTGGGAAAAGTCTAGGTTTTCTGGGTCCATCAGTCAGAAATGTAGTGTGCATTTGATGGAAAGGAGAAGGAGAGATCTATGTTGGATTTTGACAGCAAAAGCTGAAGTCTGAGACATGGCTAAGAATAATGAAGTTGCTAAGAAGGTGCAGTTGAAGACCCAAGTACAGCACACAGCAGCAGAGAAAACTCAAGGATCACTTAAGGTGCAATGAAGAGCCTCTATTCAAAGCTTTCCAGGCACTGAATTTTCCCCATTTTCTGTGTGTGAAGAGAACAGGTCTGGGCTATGCCTGTGGTTTTCAGTGTGGGTATTGCAGAGCATTTTCTATTAATTATCATAATGTCATCAGATATTATTCGACAAAAGCATAGTCTGTGATCTGCTGTGTTTGAAGTGGCTTTGCTCAGCCTTAAAGTCCTTGCTGATGGCAGATGCCATACAAATAATTTGTTCAATAAGTAGTAAAGGAGCTTTAAAGATGGGTTTTAATTTTCTAGGTGCAGACATAAATTAATTTAAAAAAAAACCCCTTCATTTCCAATGATGACAGACTGTACATACATGGGTAAATCAAATTATCTCCCAAATTGGAAATGCTTTTGGAAAAGTATCATAATACTCTCTGCTATTGACAGATCTGCAAAACTCAGAGAATGTGCACACCCTGACAGTGAAATACAATGATCTCATCTAGGAATTTGGCAAGGAAGTGAAGTTAAGACCGTGTTGCATTATGCAATGGGCTTCTCCCAGTGTTCTTTAGCATTACAAACACTTCATTTCTTTTAGCAATAGCAGCGTGCGTCACATTTACTGGTGAGTTTCCTGCCTTTTGATGATCTTAGAGTATGAAAATAGTTACTCTTATAGTGAAGGAAAAATATATTCTTATATTTTCATCCTCTGCAATGAAATAAGTTAATTTTGCATATGGGTGTACACAAAAGAGAAAGCAAAAGTATTGGATAACATTACTCCTTGTGTGGGCAGATGCAAAACTTCTCCTACATACACCTGCTGATGACCTTCACTTTGGGTGGCTGTTCCTCCTACTGTTCAAGCTCTGCTCTTCAGTGGGCATGGACTTCACTCAGTTTATTTGGAATAGGATTGGCAGATCTGCCCAATATACGATTGCCTGATGGTTGCAGTCCCCTGTCGCTCTCAGCACGCTGCGAAGGGCACCATGGGATGCTCATTTCCTACCATGTTGGCCCATCACAGGGCAAGTTCCCTAGCAGAAAGGCATAACAAGGTAGGCTGGCTATGGAGATAAACTGTGTAAACTTTGTAGCAGCTAAGTGCCATGATGTGCTTCTAAAGCGGCTTCCGGGTTGTTCTGTGGTTGGGTGCTGTTTATTCCTGGAACCACCTACACACCTGAAAGTCCTGATGAGAATAGGGTTTCTTTGACACTCCTGCTGGAGGGAAGGTTAGCCTGGGGTGAAGTCCACATTCCCAAAGTTCCTTTCCCTTCAGGGAAGTTTGCATTCAATAGCAAGACTGAAATCAGTAGGGCTTGACTTTGAGTTCAGAGCTGTTGGGCACCCTTCATACCTGGGAATAGGTGAAGAAAATTCTATCCATGCTTCAAAGTGTGTCTGGGGAGGGTGGGTGCAGGAGTATAAGTACTAACTACTTCCCTGCAGCCCAGTCAGAGCCTGTGCTCTCTGTGGCTCCTTAGATTCCTGTCTCACAAGCTCCATCAGGACATGTCCATACGGCTCCTGGCAGTGCAGAGCTCCCTGTGCTGGGGTTTCTGAGCAGCTTCGGAAATGGAAGCAGCCCCACGCTGTGCCTAGGCAGGGAACAGCAACATGCTCATGTAACCCACCAGTACTCAGTGGAGATGGCTGTTTCCACCCAGAACAACAAGATGATGTGTCAATTCACTGGGAACTGGTATGGGGATCACTAACATGGTGATATGTAAGTGTTGTGGCTCTTCTGGAGACAGTATAAAGATTAGAAATAGGCTTTCATCTGCTTCAAATATCTGCATAGGCCACAGTGTGTAAAAGCTTCACCTTGTCATACCTCATGGTTGTGTTCTCGCTGATCTCCCAGGAAAGCTCCCCCCTGAACCCTGCTCCAGATTGCACAAAGAGAGCCAGGCTTACTTGGGAGATGTGACTGAGTGCAGATGACTGAAAAGCGGGAGGAAGTGACTCAGAGACCGGATGAACTGATGAGACAAATGATTAGTGAGAGGAGAGAAGTAGGAAGTTCCAAATGAGTCCTAGCTCCCCTCTCTGCTGGAGCTCCAAATTGTTGGAGTCAGCCCCTTTTCTTTGTTCAAGGTGAGAATGCTGCAAGAAAACAAGTAATTTTTGTGCTTCTTGAGGACATGATATCCTAATTCTCTGATTTCTCAAAATGCCAAAACTTGACATGATGCAATGAGCTGGTTATTTTCATTTGACATCAAAGCCTCAGGCTATTTTATTTTTTTTAATGGAGATGTGTCCTAACAATATTTTATGTCAGTCAAACAAGCTAAAGATATAAAAGAGTATGTTCTGCATTTGACTACCATTTGCAGCACTTAATGTGGCCTAGAAATCAGGTAGCTCGGCTAGGTTGAGACTAACCTCCACACTGCCATGAATGTCATGTTATGTCTATTAGCCCCAGTAAGGACTGCACAGAATAAGAAGATGACTCTCTGGTGTATCCTCTATTATTGGAAGCAGCTGAAATATGGAAACATGAGAAATTTTGGGAAGAATTTTTCATGGAGACATTTCCAGGGTGTAGAGACGTTTTTTTTTTTTCAGCAACAGATGTTACACATATAAGCAAAAGCGGGAGTTTCAGCGGCTTAATGTCTGGGTTTCAGACATTTTTTTCTGTCTTTGGCTTACTAAAGCTGAGAGAAGGCAATTGTAATGGTGTGGACATTTCTAATGAAGAAATTAAGAATAAAATCCAAGACCCTTCATTATTAGATAGCATTAAATCATTCACTCGAAAATGCAAGAAACTTTATAATCCTCAGTAGGCAGCTGCTGATTTAAATGCCAGTACATAAAACCTAGTATCTGTCTCAGTACAGCACCTGCATTGTTCTAATTTTTAATATCTCCATAATTCACAAGTATCTAATGCTTCATGGAGTTGTGCTTATTTTCTTATTGCAACCACATCTCGTGATACAGAGCTACAAAATCCATTTATGGAGTGAGTGAAAACATAGCTTCCTTTCTTTGGCTTGAAGTTGGCAGGAGGTGAGGCTGAGTGTTCTGCTCTTCTTGCATTACATGGATCAGGTGAAAAGAAACTCATTTCAAGTCATAGTAATAATTAGCTATCCTAGCTTGACTCCTGATCTTCCTGCCCTTCTGTAAGGTCTAGTATCTTGCCCATTCTTTGCAGACTGCTTTTCACATCACCTCGAACCCCCTTCCTTTTCCCA